ACTGCACCTTGTCGCCCCCGCGGCGCAGCCTGCGCCGCCGTGGTGACGCGACAGAGAGCCTACATGCTGCACTTTGGCCCCCCGACGATGCGCCCTGCACCGCTTGCAAAGGCGCCGACGTTTGACGTAGTTATTGTGAAACGAGAGTGTCTGCCTGGTGCCGCGCGGCCCAGGCACGTCGCGGCATCGCCGCGCCCCGTGGACACCGACCTGGTGGTCACCGCCACCGGGCGGCATCGCCTTGCTGCCCAGCACTGTACTATGGAGGCCATGTTTGTTAGGCCTAAAGGAACGGTACCCCCAGGCTCAAGCTGGGTCCGGCGGACTTCGCAAACCTCGCCCTGCCCGTGGCCGTCGAGCCCGTCAGGTGCCCGTCAAGGAAGTTCAGCAAACCCGAGCCCCTTTGCTGAGCTCAGGACGCGGCGGCGCTTGCCGCCCTCGTGCGCGTCAGTCGCGCACGCGGCCCACCTCCAGAAGACGGCCGAGTAACGCTAGCAGCAGGTCTGTGCGCAGCCGGCCGCGCGGTCTGTCCGCCGCCGTGTTCGTCGACCACGCTCACGCAGAGCTGAGGCCACGATACCCGTTAGGGGATGATCCCCATGTCGGACGATCTGTCCGCCCACGCCCACGGAGCTGTCCCTGGATGGCACGCCGCCCCCAACGTGAAGGCCCACCGCACGGGCGTGCCGCCGGTCAGACATGTTTTGGTACTCGATCCGCAGCTGCAGCACGGGGTCGCGTCCGCCACGCGCCTCGCTCGCACTCGCTCTCGACAGGAGCGGCGGTAGAGTTCCTGGCCCTCGGCCGGCCCATGCCCTGCACGACCTGCGCGCGCTGCTCGTAGAGAACGACCCGACGCAAGCCTTACTTGCCAACCAGTTTCCGCGGCACCTCCCAGCCGACGTCAGTGACGTCACTCCAGAGGTGCACCCGGTGTGTCCGGGGACACCCACCGGCAGCCGATAACACGGCCCGGCGGTTGGTCCGCTGGGCCCGTGTTAGGTTAGGTTGCCCCGCGACGCGCGCCAGTCCGAAAAGATCACGCAGCTTCTAAACCAGGTGACTCGCCGCAGTGCGT